GACTTAGATACATTGGAATTTATTTGTTTTATTTGGTTGGTTTTCGTTCAAGCTGTTTTTTTTTCTGTATGGCGTTTATTCGATTTGTTACGCGAAAGACGTGGTTAACATAGCTGCCGTGGACAGGCACATCTCTCGACGGAAAACTAAATACATAACCAAGTTTATATGGCGTTTTGTTGTTTTATTTTAGGAAAAATGGTTTTTTGTTGTGAGTTTTTTCTTTGACCATAGTCAGAAATCCAAACAACCATCTAAAAATGTAAACAAACTGATGTAAACGAAACAAAATGCTGTTGGTATATAGGTGGGAATGGGGGTGGCGGTGGTACCTGTGTTTTTGTACCTGGCTATTCCGATTTGGGAAGACTTGTTTGGGGAGTTGTACATTTGCATGAATTTGTAAAACATTTACAATTTGATTTAAGTTTCTTTGTGGCAAAATTCGGAAAAAAAAGTTATCGATAAAACAAGGTCAGTTTGTTTACAGAGTCTTGTGAATATTAAGGTTAACATTGCACCTCTAAAGAGCCATTTCTAACGGAGTTGAAGACCACCATTCAATATCCCTCAGGGTTCAGCCCGACCGAAATCAACTCATTTTATGGGTTCACCCTTATGACTACATTATATCATTTGATACGGTCTCATCGAAATAATGGAGTAGACCCTAGGTTTCAGGATATAAGGAGACGACTTAGTCATTTTCGCGCATCTAGTCCAAACTTAGCCAATATTAGACCACTTCTTCTTGTTATACCCTCCACCATACTATGGAGGGTATATTAACTTTGTCATTCCGTTTGTAACTCCTCGAAATACTCATGTCAGACCCAACAAAGTATATATATTCTTGATCAGCGTAAAATTTAGCGATTTAGCGATGTCCGTCTGTCTGTCTGTCCGTCTGTCTGTTGTGATCACGCTATCTTTCGAATGAATCGAGATAGATGGCCAAAATTTCGCACACATGTTTTTTTTTCCAGTAAGCAGGTTATGTTCTTAAATGGGCCATGTAGGTCCACGTTTTCATATAGCCCCCATATAACGTTACCTCCCGATATTCGGTATTTTGATGATTTTAGCGACATTATTCACCGGAATTATTTCAAATTTGGTATTTGAAGCTCGAAATGGATTCTACACCCTAAGACAGAAAATTGTATGTGCAGGTCCACGTCTTCGTATAGCCCCCATATAACGGTAACTCCCGATATTCGGTATTTTGATGATTTTAGCGTCATTATTCACCAGAGTTGTTTCAAATTACGTATTTGGAGTTCGTTATGAGAACTACAATCTGTGACAGAAAATTGTCTATGTAGGTCGAGGTCTTCGCATAGGATCCATACATCAGTACCTCCCTATATTCGATATTTTGACGATTTTAGGTACAATACCCATCGAAATTGTTTGAGATGTGGTATTTGAAGTTCGTAATGGATGCTACAGCCTGTGACAGATAATTGTCTATGCAGGTGCAGGTCTTCACACAGCTCCGATATAACGGTACCTCCCTATATGCGATATTTTGACGATTTTAGCTACATTATTCACTGTTTATTTCAAGTTTCGAGATTGAATATGGTAATGGCTTATGACAAACAATGCCTATGTAGGTCCACGTCGTATAGACCCCATTAGACGGCTATATTTGGTATTTTTAAAATTTTAACAGAATTTTTTAAGAATTTTATTTTTTGAAAATTTTTAAATTCGTTCCAAAAGGTGGAACCAACAAATTCAATAGATGATTTTCCTTAATTTTCACACAAACTTAACCTCAACTAAATGTTTAAATATCATAGCTCTTAAAAATTGCGAAAGGTTTCACCGACTTTATTCATTCTATGTACACTAAAATATTAAACCATATCCTAAAAGCATACTTCTGAAATTGGAGTGGGTTTCACTCTATACTCGAGTTCGAGCGGAAGGTCTTCTGGGAGATGAAAAAACATGAAGCTTACTTTATTTTTACATGTTACTCGAATAAGAGCGAACGTTCTTTGCTCGATTTTTTAGAGGGAGTAAATTTAGCTTGAGATCTAGCAAATCCTACTCTGGTCAAGCAGTCTTTCAGTATTTCTCATGCCGTTATTGTATTTATACCCTACACCACAAGGTGGTTAGGGTATTATGTATTTGTGCATTTGTTTGTAACGGGCAAAAGGAAACGAGATAGACCCATAGTTACTTTTGATGATATGCATAGAATCACATTCTGAGTCGATTTATGCATGTCCGTCCGTCAGTCTGTCCATATATTTTTGTGAACAAAGTACAGTTCGCAATCATTTGTTTGTCCCAAGGACGAACCCTATTGAAATAGGAGATAATCGGTAAAAATTTACATATAGTTCCCATATATATCTTTGTCTGATTTGCATTTTATTGTGCACCAAACGTGTAATATCAGCCCGAATAATATGTAATTTTGCACATACAACCAAATTAGGCCTGAAAATAAGTATGCCAAATTTGATCGAAATCGGTTCTGATATAGCTATAGCTCCCATATATATTGTTCATCCGATTTGTTATATTTGTTACCAACAGCCGTAATATGTACTCCGTAACAACGATATTCAGGGAAATATATCAAATACAGCTCAGAAATATCTTTGCCAAATTTTATCAAAATCGGTTCAGATTTGGATATGGGCAATACCAGTCCGAATTTAAAAGATACAAATGCTTCGGCATATTTAGTCTTTTGAACCTTAAATTATAATTATAATCATAGCGTGTATGATTGAATTCTCCCATAAAAACTTTTAATTGATTCTCTCTCAGGGGGTAAAGTACTCACAAGGAACTACTTGTGTGAACTTTAAGACAATTCCATTGAAAAATGTGGCTAACATCATCAAAATACCGAATATCGAGGGGTACAGTTATATGGGGGATATACGATATCGTGGACCTATATAGATAATTCTTTTTGAGGGGGTAAAATGCCCACAAGGGACTCCTTTTGTGGAATTTCAGACAATTCCATTGAAAAATGTGGTGGACCGATATAGATAATTCTCTGCCGAGGTATAAAGTACCCACAAGGAACTCCTTGTGTGGATTTTCAGACAATTCCGATGAAAAATGTGGCTAAAATCATCAAAATACCGAATATCGGGGGGTACAGTTATATGGGGGATATATGATATCGTGGACCTGTATAGACAATTCTTTTTGAGGGGATAAAATGTCCACAAGGGACTCTTTTTTTGGAATTTCAGACAATTCCATTGAAAAATGTGGCTAAAATCATCAAAATACCGAATACCGTGGGGGTACCGTTATATGGGGGCTATACGATATTGTGGACCTATAAAAATAATTCTCTGCCGAGGTATAAAGTACCCACAAGGAACTACTTGTGTGGATTTTCAGACAATTTCATTGGAAAATGTGGCTAAAATCATCAAAATACCGAATAACGGGGGTACCGTTATATGGGGGCTATGAGATATCGTGGACCGATATAGCCCATCTTCGAACTTGACCTGCCTGCAGACAAAAGAGAGATCTGTGCAAAATTTTAGCTTTCTGTCTTAATTCGTTTAGACTGTAGCGTGATTACAACAGACGGACAGACGGACAGACGGACGGACAGGGCTAAATCGTCTTAGAATTTCACGCTGATCAAGAATATATATACTTTGTTGGGTCTAAAATGATTATTTCGATGAGTTACAAACGGAATGACGAACTTAATATACCCTCCATACTTTTTTTGGTGGAGGGTATGGAGGGTGCTCATTTCGCATTATTATTTTTTTTTTTTTGAGAGATATAATAATTTAAAATTTCGACCCGTTGTGGGAGAGGTACCAGAAGGAGTCGTCCAATTTATTTCGTCCTCATACTAGATCGTGTTTTTGGTAAATATGTTGAGATGTGAAAAATTGAAGGCAATCGTACTCTTTTTTCACATTTCATAGGAGTTATAATTTTTCAAAATTTCGACCCTTTGAGGGGGAGGTACCAGAAGAAAAAGGATGATGTATCCAGCTCCATACTAGATCTTTTGTCGGTGGAAATATTGGTTTGTGCCGCGTTTGAAAATAATCGGATGTTCATTTCGCCTTTTATGAGCGTCATGGTTATTCAAAATTTTGACCCGCAATACTGGGTTTCAATAGGGATCATCAAAATTTTATATGGGAACATCACATGATTTGTGTAGATAATAATCTTAGGTACCTTCTATTTGATGCCGTGTATATCTATAGGCGATCATTTACGAATATATTTGACTCAAATATTCCAAAGTTTTAGTTCTGGGACAGTGCTGTTTACGATTTCCCATGACATTATATAAAATCATTATTTAAAAAAAATCTACCACAAATCTAGCCTTCCCTTTGGCACCATTTCTACATAAACCAAATAATTAAAATACAGTATCCCACAGTTTGCAGCATTTCTATATATAACAAATATATATACAACAAATAATTAAAATACAGTTCAAAATAAAGTTAATTCCGCCGCTTTTAAAAACACCCACAAAGAAAACGCTAGCTACACTCCCACCACATTAGCCCTTCATAAAATATTGACAATGTATGTTTCGCTTGTTTCGACATCATGTAATGCTCTTAAAAAGGGCTTAAAGTGTTACCGCCGGGCCACCACCATATTTTAAATGGCATTTATTTAAATAATCGAGCAAAACGAGTAACAACTTTGCAAAGTGGACATGTTGTATCAAGCAATCCATTCCCTGCCATACCCACAACCACCAACGACCAACAATCATGGTGGCCCGCCAAAACATAAAAAAACTCCATAGAGAGCAAATACCACAAATTACTGAATGTTGTTGTTGTTGCTGCTGTTTTTGCTGTTACATTGCAATTACTCAAAAGTGCTAAATACACTGAATAAATATAGAGATTTTGTTGAATTTGTGTTGTGTCCATTGGTCGTTCATTTGTTGACTTTTTTCGTATTTGTGTCCACTAACCAACCCCCTCTTGTCATTCATTTCATTGCAGGAACTGGTAACAAATGAAACATCCATCGATTTGATAAATTTGGAACCGCATGCCTTGTATCGCATCATGGTATTGACACGCGGTAAATATGGCACATCACTGCCATCATCGATGCTGTTAATCAACACCACAGCGCCGAAGAACACCAGCAACGCCGCTGATGAAAAAGGTAAATTTAGTTTTAATTACACTTTGGCCGGACATGAATAGTTGACTAAAACAATGACCACAAAATAACATTGCAACAAATAAACGAATAAATACGAGAAAAAAAAACAAACATAGCCCCGCAACGTCGTTGCTGTTGTTGTCGCAAAATTGCAAATTTGCCAAATTACAAGTCAATGATAGGTGGACTAAAATTGATCGGATGTGATTGCAAATGGAATTGATGTGTTTTACGACTAGACAGCCTTAGGTGGAATTGTTTTAATTTTTAAGTGGATTCGACGAAGGAAATCAAAATACAAAATTTTGTAGCAAAATCGATTGGACAATATGGCTAAAACGTGGACCTTTATTAATTATTATTTTTATACCCTCCACAATTCTATGGAGGGTATATAAGCTTTGTCCTTTGTCGAATAATTCTATATCGATTTAGCTATGTCCGTCTGTCTGTCTGTTGTAATCCCACTATATCTCTAACGAATTGAAATAGAAGGCTAAAATTATGCACACATGTGTATTTTGCCAATTATGTCAAAGCAAGTTAAGTTCGGTCCACGCTCTCCAATAGCCCACATATAACGGAACAAGCTTTTATTCAGTATTTTGATGATATTAGCCACATGATTTAACGAATTTGTTTTAAATTTCGTATTTGAAGCTAGAAATCGGCACTCCAGTCTATGACAAAAAAAATTAATTTTGCAGACCCACGTCTTCATACAGCCCAATATAACGGTTTCCGTTTAGTCGGTAGTTTTCGACGATTTTTTTAAAGTTTCAAGTTCCTTCGAAATGGTGGAGGTGACCAAAAAATTTCATCATTTGGAGTCGCTCTACAGATCACAATTAAAGACCAATCGATACGGAATTTAGAGTTGCGGGCTGGGAGAAAACCTAGCATTTTTGGTGGCCATCGGATAATATTTAGCGGGTAAAATGGAATTGTGGGAAGTAGTTTTGAATACCTATCAGGATGAGGGAGGGCGTAAATATAGAGAAAATGCCACCGGTCAAAAGCCAAAATCAACCAGGTAAAACTTTTACAGGACTATATGACATTATTTCAAATCCAAATCAAAATAGGTTTGGACCTAAGGAGGATTTCCAATATACAGGGTTGCCATATTCGACGGACCCATCTGGCAACGCCATAACTTTTGACAGAGATGTCACATCGCTTAATGACATACCGCGTTTGAAGCGTCAGTCCAAGCAGATTTTTACCATGAACAAATACACGCCACGCGAGCGCTCTGAAATAGTTGAAATTTACATTCAACAGAAGAAGTCATTTGTGAAAACTCAACAAACAAAATTATCATGTCCGATGAAGCCCATTTCACATTGAATGGGACCGTAAATAAGCAAAATTGCCGTTTTTACGCCACTAAAAATCCTCAGGTGATTCAAGAAGTGCCTCTTCATGACGAAAAAGTCACAGTTTGGTGCGGCGTTAGTGCGAAAACGGCCATTGGGCCGTTTTTCTTCCAAAATGAAAATGGCCATGCTGTTACCATCATTCAGGAGCGTTATCGCGACATGATGACCAATTTTGTGATGCCACTTATTCTTCTAAAGCGTATGAGGCAGTTGTGGTTTCAACAAGACGGCGCAACCCTGTATTATAGTATTCTAGGTTATCACATGGTCGACACCGCACGACTATAGCCTCCACCTCCACCATTTTATGGAGGGTATATAAACTTTCACATACTGTTTGTAACTCGAAATACTCATAATGGACCCTGCAAAGTATATATATTCTGGATCAGCGTGAAATTCTGAGACGATCTAGCGATGTCCGTCTGTCGTTTGTAATCACGCTATTGATTATATAAGGCTAAAATTTTGCATACATTTATAGTTTAGTTTAAGTTCGTAAATGGGCCATATCGGTCCACGTTTCGGCATTGTTCATGATTTTTGCAACATTATTTACCGGAATTATTTCAAATTTTGCATTTGAAGTTCGTAATGACAAAAAGGTTTGTTTGCAGGTCATTGTCTTCGTATAGCCCCCATAAAACGGCACCTCCCGATGGTCGGTATTTTGATGATTTCAGCAACAATATTCTCCGGAATCGTTTCAAATTTCGTATTGGAAGATCTTAATGGGTACTACAACCTATGGCCAAAAATTTCCTATGCAGGTCCACGAATTCGTATAGCCCCAATATGACGGTTTTCATTTAAGTGGTAGTTTCCGTTATTTTTCTGAAAGTTTTCACGTTACTTTCAAATTGTGGAGGGTATTAAAAGTTCGGCCCGGCGAACTTAGCTACTTTTTTACTTGTTTTTTTCTTTCGGTTCGTATTTCTTTGTGTTCGTATTTTTTAACGTGTTGTGAACTATTAATTGACACCGATATATACAGGGTGACATAAAAAACTGCAACAAGGCCAAATGCCATCATTTTTACATTTTTTTACATTTTATTGAATGAAAAACGTCGGAAATAGCATCAAATTTTAGAATAAGTTTAGATTTGTTCGAATTGGTCACCTTTGGCACAAAATATGGCCTTCAAACGGCCAATGAAACCGTCACACGCTGTCCGAATGTTGCTCTGCGGTATTTTGGCCCTTTCCTGCCGAAGCGCTTTCTTGAGGTGATCGACACTTTGGTATTTTTTAGTGCCAACCTTGCTTTCCGAAAAACTCCAGACACAATTGTCCAACGGATTGGTCTCCGGAGATTTTGGTGGCCATTGTTCGCTGGAAATGAAGCGAGGAACCTCATTTTGTAACCATTGGTGGCGCGTGCTGAGTGGGTTGGTGCTGAGTCCTGTTTGAATGTCCAAAGTTTGCGGCCAAAATGTTTGCGTGCCCAAGGCATTTTCTATTTTCTAGATAATATTCGGCATTTATTCGGATCACTCTCTGTTCGTATTATGTTATGCTGTTATGGCGGCCCACACCATCACCATGGCCGGCGTTTGAGTTCTTGTGGCCAACCGAAGGTGCACATTTTCAGCTGCCCTTTTTGGCAAGTAAACACGATCATTTTGTTTATTTACAACTACTGAACATCGAATGTTTTCTCATCGGAGAAAACCAATTTCGGCAGTTTACCACTTTCGCACAAGCGAATCAGCTCTTTTGAGTCTATTTTCTTTCTGTTGCGGTGTAAGTTCTTGCCCTTTTTGGAATTTCAATGGCTTTGCCCCGAGCTCATTTTTCAATATTTGCCGAATTGCGATATGTTCAGCTCACGAGCCATTTTTCGGCCACTGCGACGCGAGTTTCGATCAAGTCGCTTCTTTACTTTTCGAATCATTTCTGCTGACGTTGCTGTTTTCTTCAGTCCACTTGTTTTTAACTCATTTCGTTCCGAGATTTAATTTTTATTTTTGTTTTTGAACAAAAAAAAACTTTTTAGCGTAATTTGTGCCCACTGATGTCAAAAATTTACTTCGAAAAGTTTTCTGATTTTTGTTTTTTTTTTCAGAAATTGCTAATTACAACCTACACAAAAATTTGTTTAAAATTTTTCCCTTTTCAAATTTAATTATCCCCTACAACACTATGTGTTGGGGGTATTATAAGTTTGATTGGGCCAAAAATTATGTAACACCTCGAAATATTGGCTTCCCACATAGGAAAGTATATATGGATCTTCCTAACTCGCCGAGCTGAGTCGATCTAGCTATGTATGTCCGTCCGTCTTTCCGTCTGTCCATGTTAATTTGTAATCACTCTACAGGTCGCAATTATGGCCCGATCTCACGAAATTTAGAATGGAGGTGGGGTTAAGGTCAGAATATAACCCTATTTCTTTTGGAGATGATCGCATAATATTCAAAAACAGGGAAAATTTCCTGATCACACAATTGAAGCCAATCGACACGCCTAAGAAGAAAGTTAGGGACAGGGAAGAAGTCTATAAAATCTGTCCCTGGTCAAAATGCTAGTAATATCTGGGTAGTGCTCCGTGACATAATTTCAAAAGAGAAATCTTCCAAAATGGATTTGGACATAAGGGGTCTTCTAAAATATTGTAGTGTTGTAGGGTATTACATGGTGGGCCCCGCACGACTTTGCTTACTTGTTTTATTTTAAAAAGGGTGTTTTAACTTTTCGAAATAGCCAGCGTTCAGTCGTCATATCACAAAATCTGAAAACCCCAAGTGACAATCTTCCTTCGCTGTGATAATATCATAATATTGGTAGCGATCAGAAAAATTTTGCAAAGCGGTCAGTTTTGTTTTGAAAAACATGGCTCTCTGTAATAAAGAAAAATATGAAGTTAAGCCAAGGGAGGAATAATCCAGACTTAAACAATCAACTGATTGAATCTTCAACAATAACAAAACAACATCCACACATTTTTGTTGTATATTTTTGTTTTCAAAATCTTTTCATCGGCAGGGCTTGCGTCGAGAACTATTCTGTAAAATAAATACAAAATAATTGGCGAAGAAAAATTTTTCTCGGACAACATGGACTATAGAGTTGAACTTATGTGGTAGCTATTATCCCCATACCATTTTACACCACGACCAAAGATAGTATGACTAACATTGGACAAATCTCCGATATGAACATACCTTATACCCCTGTTATATGTTCCGGGTGGTGAATGATGTCATATCTGTAGTTTGTCCGCCCGACTTTTGTCCTTAGGTTACTGGTAATAGATTCAGTGATGTAATATTAAATCCCGTACACATTTCTGTCCACCCATATACGTCCTTGAAACCTTGTAAACTCCCACTGTTATCTTGCTTCGGCTAAGATTTATTTGATTGACCACAATTATTGCTTTATCTATAGACAAACTTCTTTTCTTTATTAACCTTAAATAATATAAATATGTATATCATTTGCTCATACCTTTACATCTCGTTGAAATCATATTTCCATTCGCCACCTACACTTCCAAGCTATCAGAATATAACAACCAAGTAATATCAATTCTCATTTTACAGATGGTCAACAACATATTTATGCTGCCCCCTCACCGCCCCACTCGTTGGCCATAATTGCTCACAGTGCCACATGGATGCAGTTGACATGGCAGCCACCAGAGTATTCCCATCCTCATGAGAAAATCACCTACAGGTATGTATGTATATATGTATGAATACCTAAGCCATACAATATGACAACAACAATATCAGCAGCAGCAGAAAAGGTCAAATGTGCCAAGGTAGTAGCCGTAGGTAGTAGCAAAAATTCTGATGCTGTCTTCTTTATTTAATTATGAAAAGTTACCGAGATTATCTCCTTTCATTACAAAATATAATTGTGGTCTTTGGTATATGAAATTTGTTGTTTACTTCGTAATAAGTCATTGGGCATGGTTGGATGGATGACGTCCTTGATGATGATATCAAGTGGATTTAATGTCATGGCAATGGATTATTAACAAACATTCCTGACATCGTTGTGTTTGTGTTTTTTTTTAGTCCTGTTGCTCCTTCGACTGACCATTTTGCTGGGCAATAAATCCGGAATTTTAATAAAACTTAAGCTAACATTGCAAGTTATTGTTCTGCTCTTCTTGAACATGCTCTTGATCTCTTTTGGCCATCGGTTTCCAAGGACGTTATAGTCTATACGTTTATGTATCTACGTTGGTATTAGTGCAAAGCAAAAGTCAAGTTCTTAATTACACAAAGTTCAATTGGTTCGTAACAGTAAAGGCAAACACAACCATAAACAACCGAAGGTACTGTATTATCACCAATACTCCAACAACAACAACAACTTTAGCTTTATCATTTTAAATGCTTTACACAATAAACATTTATTACTATGACCACTTTCTTCCATTTAATTTTGTGTTGTTGTATACCAGTGAAGAAATTGGGCGATAAAAAATAAAAAAATAAATTTTTCGAATGGTATATACATTTCAGATAATCGGAGCAAATACAGGTACAGTTTTTACAGTTATGTAATACAAAAGTCTTATAGAGTGATAACTGAAAATAAGTTTTTGCTCTAAACAATACTCCATATGTTCGATGCATCCGCTATGGGAATAAAGCACTTTGGCTACATCAGACCCAACAGATTAGAAGGTATGAATTAGTTTGCCGACAGATATATAACCTGAGCATAAATTTCGGCCTTAGTTCGCTGATATTGTTATGGGAAATCTCTATAGATCAGTTCATAATTTTTTTATTTTTTCAATATTTTTCCGGGAAGACACCAGAAGAAATAGGCCTGTGTATTTTTTCTTCATACTTAAGAGATGTGTGAAGTTTGAAGAAGACCGCTCATTAGTTTCAGATCTTAGGGAAGTTATTATTCAATATTTATTAAAATCTGAATCTGTAAAACTGAATCTGTATAATTCATTTTTATAGGCTACCCCATTCTATGGAGGGTATATTAGCTTAGTCATTCCGTTTGTAAATCCTCGAAATACTTATGATAGACCCTACAAAGTATATATATTCTGGATCAGCGTAAAATTCTAAAACGATTTAGCAATGTCCGTCTGTCTGTGTGTGTCTGTTGTAGTAACGTTATGTTTCGAACGAATTTAGTTAGAAGGCATTTTTTTGCATTCCTATGTATTTTGCCAGTAGGCAGGTTAAATTCGTAAATGGGTCATTTCGGTTCACATTTCCGTATGGCCCCCATATAACGGTAGCCCCCTATATTCGATATTTTCATGATTTTAGCGACATTTTTCACCGTTATTGTTTCAAATTTTGTCAAAAAAATTCGAATGCAAGTCCACGTTTTCGTATAGCCCCAATATAACGGTACGATACCGATATTCGGTATTTTGATGATTCGGTATTTGAAGTTCATAATGGATAATACAGCCTATGACAGAAAATTGTCTGTGCAGGTCCACGTTTTCGTTTAGCCCCCATCTAACGGTACCTCCCTTTATTCTGTATTTGGATGATTTTAGCAACGACATTCACTGTTTTTTTAATTTCGTATTTGAAGATCTTAAAGGGTACTACAGCCTATGACAAAAAAATTACTTATGCAGGTTCACGTCTTCGTGTATGCCCCATAAAACGGATTTCATTTAAGCGGTATTTTTCGGAGTTTTTTGATGTCTTTCAAGTTCCTTTCAAATGGCCGAATTGCAAAACAAATATTACTATGTTCGAAGTTAAGACCACATCTAGTATTCACTTCGTACCACACTGTGGTACAGATATAACCCCATAGCTACTTTTGAGGATCCTCATAGCATCACTTTCTGAGTCGATTTACCTATTTCCGTCCCCATGGACCTATAAATCTCTTCATGTATTATTGTGAACAAAATGCAGGTCAGGTTTATGGTGTGATTCAAATATATATCTTCGTCCAATTTGTCTTTTATGGAGTGCAAAATATATGTATCAAAGGGATTTTGGAAATTCATACTAAGATGGTACGAAAAGTACTAAAGTGTACTAAAAATTGAACACTTTGTATTGGACAAACGGAATGAGAATCACTGAGGGATTGCAGGATTGATGTGCTAAAACATTTCTGAACTGGTACTAAACTTCTAAAATGGTGCCATGAATGGATAGAGCTAAAAAATTGGTATGAGAATCAAGATTGAAAAGTAATTTTGATAGTTAAAGATGGATTTGGAAATGTGCAATAAGGGTGTGTGGTACTAAATTTGGTTTAGGGCGAACGGATTAAGCTTTGGGGTCCCTGTTGGTCCTAAAGAGGTGATGTAGATGTAAACTAAAAGTACAAATACAAGGTAGTATCATAAATGATCCAATTTGGTATTGGGTGAAGAGATAGTGCTTATAGTGCATGTATAGCCTGGACATATTGAGGTGGTTTCGGAAATGTGAACTATAATGTAATTGTACGAAAAAATTCTAAATGGTACTATATTTGGTATTGAGTGAAGGAATAGAGATTAAATTCTTAAATTTGATATTAAATTACTGATGGTATCTGTGTTTGTGATTTGGAGGTGGATTAGAAAAGGTATCCCATATTTGTACGAGAAGTTTTAATTGGAATTAAATTTGGTATTAGGTGAAGGAATAGGATTGGAATCCTCAAGTTGGATATTGAGATCTCTGTTGGTATATGGTAATTGTAAGAAAAGTACTAAATAGTACTATCGGGTGAAGGAATAGATCCGAAATCCTTTTAATTTAGATGTAACTGTTGGGGTCTGTGGTTGTGTCCGTTATATGGTATCTTGCGCTTGTTTTGAAAATGCGTACTATAATTATTTAAAAAGTTCTAAATCGTACTATATATATAAATTTTATTTTTTTTTTTTCTTATTATTTTTTTCAAAAATTTCTTATTGAGGTCCCTGTTGGTATCAGAGATTGAGATATGCAGGTGGTTCTGCAAATGTGTACTATAATTGTACGGAAAGTAGTAAATAGTACCAACTTTGGTATTAAGTGAAGGAATAGGGCTGATTCTTGACATTTTGATATGGATGTTACGGTTGGGATCTGACGTTAAGATATGGAGGTAGTTTTGGAAATATGACGTTGAGGGTTGAGATAAAGATGGAATCCTGAAATTTGATATCGTGGTCACTGTTGGTGTCTAGGGTGGAATGAAGGACTTATAGATTTTGCTCTTCAAAGAAAATCACAAATTAAAATTAAACAAACTTTATTCCGTTTAAAAGCAGATCGAGTTTATTTTTGAAATGCGTTGATTTGGATATAGCTCACATGTTCACGTTTACTGTGCTCCAACTGTGTAATACCAGCTCAAATGGCATGAATTTTGGTGAAAATCGGTTTTAATCGGGTGTTTTCCTTGTGAATGCAATAAGAGCTCTAAAGCCATAATACGCATAGTGGTGTTGGCAATCATTAAGTTGGCCTCGCCCGAATTTTGACATTTCTTTATTGGTAAATGCCCTGAAACAGATTCCATTCAAATGAAACCTAGGTTCCAAAACCGTTATTTCGATTTGAATCGTGGAGATTAAGCTAAAGATAACATTTGCAGAAGGAGTGGGCCGATCACACCTAAGTCAAATACAAATATTACTAAGTGCGAAGTATCCACCAAATCGGATAATACTAAGCTCTATATGTGGTATTATTTTTTTTTTAATTTTGAATATTTTATTTCCAATTATATAATCGCTGTATTTTACAATAATATTGACTCACTAAAAATTTTATTACCAATTCTTTGTTAAATGGTTCACTGGGTTTTCACTGAGAAATTTCAATTTCAAAAGGCTTTGTGTAGCTAATGACATTCGAAACAGTTATGAATGTAATGTTTTATTTGGAAGAGAACAAACTTCATTGGGAAATATTACCACAAAGATACTTTTGTAAAATTTCCTAATAATTATTTCCCATGAATACAAAATTATCAGAAGTCAGAAATGATTGATGTGGGTTTAAAGGGTAAAGTTTGAAATATCATCATTTTTGGATTGGGGTCAACGTTGCAAGGTAATAATAAGTATGGGGAGCAGTTTAATTAATATTAAAGTTGGATTACTTACGGAATAATCGATTCTGTAAAATGATGATAGCTCAGTTACAGACTCTCTATATTAAAGTAAGGAGGTATTGAACGTTTCTTACATTTTTCTTTTTCCGATTTTTAAATTTCTTCTTCATTTTATTTTTACTTTTTCAGAGTGTACCACAAACCGACCAAAGCGGAAAAATTCAATAAAATAGAGACCCGGGTTGCATGGCTCCGCATGGGCAATTTGAAACCAAGTTCCCAGCACATTTTATATGTTGAAGCTGTGGGAGAAAAGGCAACTTCAATGCCCTCGGAAACCCTGGTGGCATGGACGGATCCAGCCCTACCAGCCTTTGTGGATGTGAGTATAACAAAAAGAAGACAAAAACAATCAAAGAATTATTGTCCCAACAAATTTCTAGCCTCCAACTGTTCATCCCGCTGACAACGTACCCGAAGGTGGTTCCATGACCATTCTCTGTCTGGCATTGGGTAATCCTGCACCCACGATCTCACTATATGTAGGTGGCCATTTAGTGCGTCAGGATGCCTCCAGACATATGGTGACAGTCATACACAATGTCACGGCGGACATGGAACATGTTTCGTGTTATGCCGACAATGGCTATGGTGTGCCAATGCAGGCCACCCGGAAAGTGAATATATGCTGTAAGTTGGAAATAAATAAAAAAAATTTGAAAAATTTAATATAATAAATGTATTTTCCCCTAGATCCTCCCAAAATCCAAGCTGCCGGCATCACGGTCGCCTCGGTGGGCAATGAGGTGGAATTGCGTTGCATGGTCGATTCGAAACCCAAACCAAAAACCATTTTCTGGCGTGATATTGATGGCCGGGTGCCTGTTATCGAAGGTGGCAACTATCACATTATGGAACGTATCAACGAATCCCATCCGAATTTGTATACCATGGTACTGCGCATCAATAAACTGCAGGCCAGCGATGTTGGCGATTACTTCTGCCATGCTGAAAATCCATATGGCTCGAAAACCATACCAGTGTCGGTACGCATGCGCACTTCACCATCGCTCAATCACAATGTAACGGAATGCTGTGCCCAGATGAATGTGTCGATGTCGTGTCGCAGTGCCTGTAGTTATTATGTCGATATTGATGCCATAGCCGATAAACCCGAATGTATTGTGGAATTTGATAAAATGATGCGTTGCGCTGCGGATGGTTCAGATCATCGTAGCTGTTGTGCCGATTCGAATGTACCGCGTAAATGTTTGAATTGGTGTCGCGGTGAACCGGTACGTTCGAAGGAGATTTGTAGTTTACAGTATGCCAGAACCATTGTGGGATGTTTTGAATCCAATCGGGATCGTTTGCCGGGACCACCGGAAAATATTGCCGTTAGTGTGATATCGGATAGTGAGGTGGTTATAAGGTGAGTCATAGCTTATATTGATTTAAAAGCGTTATTTTTACAGCAGCTCGATTCTGGGGAGTTATTTCTTAATTTAAAAGCATACTTTTAGGAGTTTTAAATATGTCAATGTCACTAATACTAAGTTCACATGATACGTGGTTCGCTCTCGATTCGTTGATTTCCTCTTAGTTGCACTATGCGAAAAATTTAATTTATTTCAAAAATTACAGCAAAAATCCGTGCAGATAATGAAAGTAGAGCTCAAAATATAAAAATTTGGGTATCGACGTTTTGAAAGTTTACATCACATCGCAAAATTTCACTATAAATCTCAAAATAAACCTTATATTTAGGCATAATATTTTTTTATACCCTCAGCCACATGGCTATAGAGGGTATACATCATTTGAGGGTATATATCATCGAAACAAACCTAGGTCTCTATGGAAGAAATTATTTTCAGGACAGTTGGAGTCGATCTAGCAATGTCCTGCCGTCTGTCTGTCTGTCTGGCTGGCTGGTGCGCACGATAACTCTTGAAGGGAGTATTCGATTTGATCTAAACTTAGTATATCGCAATACTAGATCGAGTTCAGAGATGGGCAATATCGGTCCACTCCTTCTGGTACCTCCTCCAAAAAATGTCAACATTTTCAAAGAAAATAATTTACTGCACAAAAAGAAAAAGGATAATCTGATTTTGCTCCAAATTTGCAAACCATAATATTTGCATTAGTGCTGGGCCAGGTGCGAAAATGGATAATCGTCAAATTTTGAATAATTATAACTCTTATAAAATGTGATGTAAATGTACGATTGTCTTCAAATTACACACATCACAATATTTTTATTAATCCAAGGTCTGGTGTGAAGATGGGACAAATCGGTTCACTTCTTCTGGTACCTCCCCCACAAAGGGTCAAAATTTTGAATATTTATGAAGCTCATTGAACATGAAATTAACATCCGACTCAATTCAGATTTGGTACAACACATTATTCCCATCAACACAAGATCTGTTATAAGAATGGTAGAGATCGGACAATTTCTTCTGGTACCTCACTCAAATACGGTTTAAGATTACCACAAAACGCTCAAAGAAAGGGAAATAAACATGCAACTCTCTTCCAATTTCACACGTATAAACATTTTTGCGAGAACAAGATCTGTTGTGAAAATAATACCACCCACAAAGAGTCACAATTTTTATTTTCAATATTTTTATCTGTTATAACTTACGACACAGGTCAGCGATTCTTTAAAATTAAATATATATCTCAACCAGAAACCTGAGGTGAATATGGAATTTATGATTTCGCATAAAATTGGATATAAAAATTCAATTCTTGTAATTTTGCCCATACCAATATTTTTAGCCATATATAAGATGAAGTATGTAAATGGAATACGACTACAGGGTGAGATAAAAACACTGCAACAAAGTCAAAAGCCATAATTTTTAATTAATCTAATGAAGGCGAAAATTGTCGGATATAACATCAAATTTTAGAATAAGTTTAGATTTGTTCGAATTGGTCAAACGGTCAATGAAACCGTCACACGCTGCCCGAATGTTGCTCTGCGGAATTTTGGCACATTCCGGGCGAAGCGCTAGCTTGAGGTGATCGACACTTTGGAATTTTCTAGTGCCAACCTTGCTTTCCAAAATACTCCAGACACAATAGTTCAACGGATTGGTACCCGGAGATTTTGGTGGCCATTGTGCGCGGGAAATGAAGCGAGGAACCCCATTTTGTAACCATTCTTGGGTGGGGCGTGTTGAGTTCGATGGTGCTGAATCCTGTTGGAATTTCCAAGGTCTGCGGCCAAATGTTTGCGTGCCCAAGGCTTTAAAACACAATCCAGAATATTTTTGCGATAATATCGGCATTTATTCTGATGCCATGGTCGATTAATACGAGCGGAGAGCGACCACTGTTATGGCGGCCCACACCATCAACATGGCCGGCGCTTGAGTTCTGATGGCCAACCGAAGGTGCACATTTACAGATGACCTCTTTGGCAAGTAAACACGATTATTTTGTTTATTTACAAGAGAAATCATTTTGTTGTTTACGGAGAAAACAAAATTCGGCAGTTCGCCACTTTCGGCCAAGCGAAGCAACTCTTTCGCCCATTTGAGTCTATTTTCTTTCTGATGCTGTGTAAGTTCTTGCAATTTTTAGAATTCCCATGGCTTTACTCCGAGCTCATTTTTCAATATTTGCCGAATGAAATATTGCGATATGTTCAGCTCACGCCATTTTTCGGCCACTGCGACGCGGGGTTCGATCAAGTCGCTTCTTTACTTTTTGAACCATTTCAGCTGATGTTACTGTTTTCTTCCATCCATTTCCATATGGGACAAAAAAAAAATTATTATTCACATTTAAATGCTGAAGTGCTCTAACGATAGCCTCTTGTGGTTTTCCACCCAAATATAACGAAATCACACTATCGCGCTTGTATTCCATCACGAATAACTTTTTTTCTGGAAAATGCTCACCAAAATGCTTTTGTACGCTTGTAAACAATATAATGAGCTGTCACTGGAATAATGTTAACAGTTGTCCGACGAGTGACTTAGAAATGTCAGCAGCCTGAAGTTGGTTGCAGTTTTTTTCATCTCACTCTGTATATAGGTCCACGATATCGTATATCCCCCATATAACTGTACCTCCCGATAATCGATATTTTTTATATTTTAGTCACAGTTTTCAATTGCATTGTCTGAAAATCTACACAAGGAGCTTCCTGTGAGTACTTTACTCCCCTGAAGAAGATTGTCTTCATAGGTTTTAGTATAACACCCATATAACACTACCCCGAGATATTCGGCATTTCCAGGATTTTCGCAACGTTATTCAACTGGATTGCGTCAAATTTCGCATTTGAAGTTCGTAATGGGTTCTATAACCTATGACAAAAAATACTTATCCAGCACCTAGTCTTCGTATTGCTCCCATATAAAGGTTTTCATTTGAGCGGTATTTTTCGACGGAATGCTTTTCTTTTTTTAATTTTTCAAGTTCCTTCCAAATGATGGAGGGTATATAAAAGTTCGGAACTTAGCTGCTTTTTGACTTGTTGCGCACCTCCTAAATTTCTATTTTCCTACAATTTGTTGTACATTTTGGAAAAGTGGATTTTGAGCTTGCTGGCCACCAACCCTAAATTTTCTGAAAATGCATAGCTATGTTCGTCGTAAACGCCTAGTATTTTTGTTATGGGAAATTGATATTGAAAAAACATTCGCCATCTCCAACAACCCACAACGTCAAAAGTACACCCTCCCTATCCATGAGCATTTTATAGAAGTTTCTTTATTCGCTATTGTTTGTTTTTCTTGGAAGAAAAATAAACCCAACACAAAAACGCATGTAAAATATTTAGACATTTAGACTTTACATTACTTAATGTGCATGTAACATTTATCCGTTTAAGCTGTCCAAAAAGCCAAGATAACTTTACCAACAAAGAAAAATGAAACAAAAATCCGGAAACGATTCCATTTTCTTTTCGATTTCATGTTTTTGTTATGGCATTTTGACAAAATCACACACGTTTCTCAATTTAAAAGTCAAACTCGAAAAAAAGGCAAAGCGAAGAGGAGATGACAGCAGCAAAGTCTTTTAAGCCGGATATGATAACATAACGGAAATTGCCCTTGCATTGAGGTTAGCAATTGTTATTGTGTGTCTGCTATTATTTCAGGCAATCGTGAAAAGAGGTCCTTATGGGGCAAATTGAAAAACCTCAGAAACGTGTGTGTATGTGAACATAAGAAATAATTAAACAGCTATGAATATTCATGGAAATCCAATTGCAGTGAAATGTGTGTGTGCGTGTGAACGTATGTATTTTATGCCAAGCTGGATACTAATAGACCAACCACTTCTCTATACACTCTCATTTACCCTGGTCTTAGTAAACCACTTCTTGGAATTGGTTTAGTTAGGTTGGTTAGGTTCTTTTGGGGAAAAGTTAGAAGTTTCCAGTTTTCTTTTGTTTCATTTATTCTTTTTTTTTTCCTTTTTTCTCATTTTACCTTTTCTCTGTCCATTTGCCTAGCTAGTTGGCTTTGAAATTGCCATTTTACTAAAGTTAGCATTCGGTATCCTTTGTTCCAAGTATCGCTGTTAACACTTACACACTTTAGTGGTATTCTGTCAGGGAAGCGAAACGAAACGTTGAAAATAACAATGACAGCTGCAGCAGAGCAGCAAAGAAAGAGTGTTGTCGTTCTGGAATCGAGCTTGGGTTAATAATTCGGTATTTAATGGCCGAAAATGCCTAAAAAAACACGAAATTTATTTATCTTCTGTGAGGAAAGTCTCTTTGATGTTCTCCAGACATAGATGACCTTAATGAAGTATTATATACATAGAAAACCTTCTTGAGGTCTTCGATATATGGAAAAGGTTTACGATGTTTTTATACCCTACACTACAAGGTGGTCAGGGTATTATGTCTTTGTGCATTTGTTTGTAACAGGCAAAAGGAAACGAGATAGACCCATAGTTCCTTATGATGATCTGCATAGAATCACATTCTGAGTCGATTTATGCATGTCCGTCCGTCCGTCCGTCTGTCCATGTATTTTTGTAAACAAAGTACAGTTTATGAGTTCTTTTTTGCCCCATCCAGATGAAATTTTCCACAAATCATTTGTTTGGCCCAAGGACGAACCCTATTGAAATTGGAGATAATCGATAAAAAAATAGATATAGCTCCCATATATATCTTCGTCCGATTTGCCTTTTATTGTGCACCAAACGTGTAATATCAGCCCGAATACTATGGAATTTTGCACATACATCCAAATGAGGCCTGAAAATAAGTGTGCCAAATTTTATCGAAATCGGTTCAGATATAGCTATAGCTCCCATATATATTGTTCATCTGATTTGTTATTTTTGTCCTCCGCAGCCGTAATATGCACTCTGTAACAACAATATTTGGGGAAATATATTAAATACAGCTCAGAAATACATTTGCTAAATTTTATCGAGATCGGT